TACTTAAAACTGTATGAATTATTATTATCTTCAAGTTAGTGAATTTGCAGTGTTCACTCATTCACTTTGACATTAGTATACTGATTAAATCATCCCTAACACCACCCTTGGAGTCCTGGTGTGGTACTATAGGATTAGCACTCCAGCACAAGGTCAATTTGAACCCCAATATTTTTGTTGCAAACTCACCAGTCACTCCTTGATAACCTAATGTTGTTGTTGTTGTTAAGTGCCGTTGAGTCGATTCTGATCCATAGTGATCCTGTAGAGGGTTTCCAAGGAGCAGCTGGTGAGCTTAAACCACCAACCTTGCAGTTCAAATGACTTTGCAGTCTGACGCATTAGCCTACAGCGCTATACCGGGAATCCTGATAGAGGGTCACTATGGGTCAGAACCGACTAGATGGAACTTGATACCAACAACAACCTTCACCTTCTCTTATGAATTGTCCTCATTTTCCCCTTTGTCCTCATATCTGCTGGAATTTATACAGGAAATATATTTGAATAAAGTCCATTGAGATTTTTTACTTAACCTACAGATCTATAGATGAATGCACTACTTAACAACCACATATACAAAAGACCTATTTTATCCGTTTGTTATTGACTTCAGCATAGTTGTATTAGAGTTATAGAACATAGTCTGCATGATTTTAATCTTATGACATTTATTGAGACATTCATTAGCTGACTCAAGATTCCCTGTGTTTTAGACCGTGCTGTAATGATATAATTTTCCAGTTATGTAATGGTACAGTCATCCATATGATGTAATCTGAAGTCATCAACCAATCAGATGTAAGAGGCTTAGGATAATATGTACAAGCCACAGCCCCAATATTATGTAAGGAGAACTGTCCTTGGGTATGGTCAAAAAGAGGGGAAAACATGAGCACACAACTCGGGATCTGATAATAACCAATAAAGAAGTTTTGGGAATGGAAGATGTCTTTGGACTCAAAGTCCCTGTGTTGAGAACCTCCTAGACACAGAGGAAGAGTGATGCCAAGACATATCCCCAAGGAATATTGGACTCACAGATGTTGTAAGGAGACAAGGATTTTTTTTCCAGAACTAATAAAGAGAGACATTTTGTCTTAGGACTGATTCCCTGAATTCAGATTGTGAATTTCTAGACCATGAACTGCCACAAGAACAAACCAACACGTACTGAAGGAAATACAGCCAGAATGTTCCTTGGAAGCCATGATGGCTAGACTTTGTGTCTCATACTTCAGATATATTCTCAAGAGGGTTCAGTCCCTGGGAAAGAATACCATGTTTTGTAAAGTAGAGGGTCCAGGAAAAAGTGGAAGAGCTTCAATAAAATGGATTGGCATATGGAAGCAACATCAGACTCAAATATAGCAACTGTTGTGAGGTTGGCACAGAACCAGATAGTGTTTCATTATATTTTGCTTAGAATTGCTATGAGTCAGTACCAACTCGATGGCACCTAACAATAATAGCAATGAATCTTCTAAACTATGAAATAAAAATTCTGCTTATTAAAGTGATGCACGTGTAGTATTTCTGTTATATTGTTGTTTTATTGTTGTTATTAAGTGCTGTTGAGTTGGTTCTGACTCAAAGCAACATTGTAAAAGGTTTGCAACAAGACAAGATGTTGGTGGTTTTGAACTGCTGGTGCTTATTCTGTAGCGCAATGTGCATTGCTCTACTTATATCAAATAGATCATGTTTGTTTGTTATTGTCATTAGTTGCTAACAAGTCACCCCCAAAATATGGCACACCATGTATAATGGAACGAAATACTGCATGGTCCTGTACCATCCCCACATTTGTTTATAGGTTAGACCATTGTGATCCATTGAGTTTTCACTTAGTAATTTTTGGCAAGTGTGTTTTTGTGTTATTATTAGGTGCCATCGAGTCAGTTCTGACTCATAGTCACCCTAATTACAATGGAAAATAGCATTGCCTCAGCCTGTGCTATTCTCACAAATGTTGTTATGTTTCAACCCAAACTTGCTGCAGCTGTGTTAATACATCTTGTTGGCAGTCTTCCTTTTCTTTGCTGACTTTCTGTTTTACCAAGTGTGATGTCCTTTTCTAGGGACTGATCCCTCCTGATAATGTTTCTAAAGTATAAGAGGTGAAATCTTACAATCCTTGCTTCTAAGAAACATTCTGACTACTTTCTCTAATACAGATTTTTTTTTTTTTTCTCCCTGGCAATCTATGTTATATTCAGTGTTTTTGGCAAACAACATAATTCAAAGGCAACAATTCTTCATTTTGCTTTATTCATTGACCAACTTTTGAATACATCTGAGGCAATTGAAAATACCATGATTTGGATCACATAGCTTAGAATTCAAAGTCTCTGTTTCTTAACACTGCAAGGAGGTCTTTTGCAGCAGAATTGCAAACACAAAGTACTGATCAATTTCTTAATCATTTTCAAATCTTGTTAATTTTCACAGAGTTTTGATCTTGTACCAATCATGGAGTGATGTTGCTGTTGTTGTTAAGTGCCTTGTAGTCAGTTTCTACCTATAGCTGACCCTGTATCAAGTTCCTGGTTTTTTGTTTTGTTTTTAAGTATGTGTGAACAGAAACACTCATATTAAAATGCCATGGACTGCCAGAAGAACAAACAATTCTGTGTTGCAAGCTATACAACCAGAATGCTCTTTAGAAGCCAGGATGATGACAAGTCCAGTTTTTATCATACAGAGAGCACCATGATTTTAAAAGTGTCGAGGTCTGCTCTGGTAGCGTAGTGGTTATGAGTCGGTCTGCTAACCTCAAGTACAAGAGTTCAAAACTACCAACAGTACTGTCTGAGATGAAGCTTTCTGGTTCTGTAAAGATTTACAGACTCAGAAACCCTATGCAGGGTTGCTATGGGTCGGAACTGACTCCATGGCCAACTGCCACCACCACTACCATACAAAGATGTGTACAAAACACTACTACAAGAAACCAAAATAGATTTTTTTTTTTAAATGAAAAAAGAACCTGAACAGGGATTCAACAAATTAAAATTTAGAAACTTTGGAGATATTATTATGTGCTTCCAAATGGGGAATATAGAGAATATTTTAAAGATTTCCTACTTATGTACACATTTATATATGCATCAGAAATCACATTGCTGTCATTATATGAAAATATCCTTTACTCTACAGTAATCAAAACAAAACAAAACAATTATCATGGAGTTGACGTTGGCCCATGACAATCCCCTGTGTGTTGGAGTGTAACTGTTCATCATACTTTTCAGTAGCAGAAATTTTCAGAAGTACATTACCATACCTTTCTTCCAAAGTACCTCTGAGTGAATTCAAACTTCCAAACTTTTGGTTAGCAACTGGCATATTAATCATTTGCTTCACAAAAGGATTCCTTGCTAAGGGTTACAAAAACAAAAACAAACAAACAAAAAACGCTATAATTGAGACAATCTATAGCAGAGCAACCCAATAAGGCAAAGTAGAACAGCCCTCACAGTCAGGGACACCAAAGCTGTGGCAATCCTGGAAGCAGACTATCACATCTTATTCCTACAAAGAAACAAGTGGGTTTGACCACTGATATTTTTTGTTAGCAACCAACTGACCACCCACTATACCACCAGAAATCTTTACTCAGGATTGGGCTGACTTAAAACAATGAGTGATTTAGAGTTTCTTTCAAGTGATTGAATGTATTAGTAACAACAATGAAGATAGTTAAAGAATTGTTGATGTTTCACTGCTTTTCAGCCTCTGGCTCACAATCCTGTCTGTGAGTTTCCACTCTAAAGCAGAACAGAGGCAGGAGGGGAGGGGGCACATGCTGCTCCTCCCTCAGGTCATTAGCAAGCCAATGATTGCCTTTTTTGTGCTCAAGGACTGGGTGGAAGGGAGAACAATTTCACTAATGAGGAAGTTTGGAGATAAGACTCCTAGGACCAGAATAATATGTAAATATACCCACAACTTCTATCAACACAATCTCTCCACTGCCAGACTAGAAAGGAAAGTATCTCTCCTCCTAGAAAATGTGTCTTTAACAAAACTGCACTCATGACTGTCCTGGAAATTCTCCAGTGTGCATCTGCCTTCAACATTCACATCCTTAGAAGAGACTCGGCCTCTCTGAGGTGATTGTGGAGATACAGAAATCCCTTTTAAAT